AATGAGTGAAGGCCGGGCACAGTGGCTCACACCTGTAATCCTAGCACTCTGGGAGGCCAAGGCAGGTGGATTGCTTGAGCTCAGGAGTTCAAGATTAGCCCAAGTAAGAGCAAGACCCCCATCTCTAAAAACTAGCCGGGCATTGTGGTGAGCACCTGTTGTCCTAGCTACTCAGGAAGATGAGGCAGGAGGACTGATTGAATGAGACTTTGTCTGAAAAAAAAAAAAAGAGTGAAGTAGATACTGAACAAGGTGTTTTGTCAACGGTCTGTGAGCGTATGGTAAAAGCAGATGTTCTGGCTTAGTGATACCAGGCTTAGTGTTGTGAGTGATTCCTCTAAGGTCTGCAGGACCAGGATCAACTGTCAAAGGGCTGCGGAGGCTGTGGGAAGGACAATCCAGGGCATAACTCAGTGACTTCTGAGAAGCTAATATGTATGTAGAATCAGGGTTCTTTCTTTCTTCTTCTAGAGCCTTTCTCTTGGACCTTCTTTCTATCTTCATCAGTATGTTTTTGTACTGGAATAAATTCAGAGTTAATTTTACGTCTAATTTTAACTAAAAAAAAAAAAAAGTAGACCTATATCAAGCAGTTTTTTTCTTGAAACATTTTCAGTAGTTTAAGGCTAGGGAAAAGATATATCCATGCTTATTTTTCACTTCCTTGTTGTAATTCTTTGTGCAGTGGCTAAATAAATAAATAAATAGAACCAAGAAAGCAAAATCAAACAGATGGCGTTTGGGGAGAGTGAGTGCCCAAAGTACGGCGAAAATAACTAGGTTAATGTAGATTTTGTTGTTATTGTTTTTCTTCTTTTTTCTTGCGTACCCCAAAGTGAATGTCTTTGCAAAGGTGGATTCACTTCCAAGGAGATCTTGGTTCAGTGGCTTCTTCTGAATTCCTGAGCATTCTTGTTGACCATCTAAATCAACGTGCCCAGACACATTGCACAGAGACCCAGACATCTAAATAGCTTGTAAATAGCGCTCTGAATCAGAGAGCTATTCTAGACTGAGCTGGCTCCATCAGCAGATCCCTGCTTTCCACCTACATCCATAATTCCTCTGGACCCATTATTTCATCCATCCCTTTGTCTAGCACCTACAATCTGCCAAGACCTAGGCAGTTAAGTAACTAAGCCACTCACTTAAGACCATACTTCATTCTAAGGGGGAGAGGAGTGGGGATGACATCAAACAGTGGTAAGTGATTTGAGGAAAACCACATCCAGGGTTTCTTCAAGGAATTCTCAGCTACTTTCAGCAGACAACTTGTAGTCTCTGGCCATGAAAGACAATACTATCTTACATGAAAGATCTTACTGATATTTTAACACTGCTGACTGATTCAGAAGCAATTCTGTGTTTTACCTTCTTTGCTGTCTCTGCTGTCTTTATTTTCCACTCATGTAATCTGTCTGTTATCTATTGCTGTGTAACAAACCACCCCAAAATGTAGTGGCTTAAAATAGCCAACATTTATTTGGCTCCCCATTCTGTGGATTGGTTGGGTAGATCTGGTTTGGATCAGTGCATCTGTGATTGGCTGGAGGGTTGCTGGAAACTGGATGGTCTGTAATGGCCCAACAATTGGCAGGCTGTTGGCCAGGCAGACAGACAGCAAGTGGGCCGGGTGTCTCTCATCAACCAGCAGGCTAGCTTGGACTTCCTTATGTGGCAGTAGTGGCTGTATAGGTCCCAAGCTCAGTAAGAGAATGGAAGCTGCAAGTGTCTTGAGATCAAGCTGTGGAAGTTGCACATCACTTCTTCCTTATTCTTTTGGTTAAAGCAATTTACGAGTCTAGCCCAGATTCAGGAGGTGAAGAAATGGATTCCTTATCTTGATGGAAAGATCTGCAGCATGACATTGCAAAGGGTGTAGTTGCCATAAAGTTTTTACAATACATCACAGGTTGTAAATTCCTTCCCCCTTGAACATACCTTAACACTCCTAATGATTCTTTAGGAATTGCAATATAGCATTATCTAGGAAGTTACATGATTTAATTTTGGGAGGTCTATCCTACTTTTGGAAGTGCCTATGACCAGGGAATAGTTTATTTTCATTCTGTTCTTAGTAGTAGAGAATAGTTTTGCTTTTAAACTTCTTTTTTGTGCCCTTTTTGGGGTTGGCACTTAATTTGCATGTTTCTGAGATACGCATGGTGTTTCTGTATGATTAGTAGTAACAGTGTGACCCATTAATATTGCCCATGACAGGCATTAGAGAATATTGTTTATACACTAAAGGCAAACAGCATGGAGTTTTAACTATTTGATTCATTTGATGAGTTACCTCATCAAGTGTATTATAAAGTGCTTTTGTGTAATGAGATGTTTGTAATAATATTCGTTGAGTGTTAACTATCTGTCAGACACTGCCTATGCTACTTATAGGTATACCTTGTAGTATAGGTATACTGTCTCAATTTACACCTATACTGAAAGGTATAGGTGTTGGTATCAGTGCCATTTTAGAGATGAAGAAACGTAAGCTTAGAGGTTTACAAATAAGCTTGAGGCCACATGAGTGGTCTTCTCTACCAGGTTCAGTGAGAACTATCTCCTCACTTCTGACGGCAGATCTGTCCGAGGGCAGATGGATCTAGTCCTTGGGTGTTGTTTCATTTTGTAACTCCGCTCTTTGGTGCACCATGCACAGCCCTCCCGGCTGGGCCTGTCCCTTCTGTGGAAGTCGGTGCCCCTGAACTCCACAGAACCCAGGGTTATGCACTAAAGCATGCAGGTTGTTGGGCTCCTGGATTTGGGTGAGGGTGTTTATTTTAAAGCACATGCTTTTGGCTGCTGACCTTATGATTTCAAAATTGAAAGCTTTCTACTCATTTTTCTCAAGGAGAGTTCCCCTAGAATGGGAAGAAACTTGACTTTGGGTAATTTTTTTTTCTTTTAAAGCCAGGGCTATTTTGTGGTTGTTTGCAGTTTAGAATCTCTAGGTTGAAAGGGACTGAAAGGGTTATGAAATGTAACCCGTCTGACCTCTTCCTTAATAGTTGAGAATTCCCTGTGCCCCCAGGCA